GAAGAAAGATGTGAAAGAGAAGAAGAAATAAAAGAATGGTATCTATAAGAGTAAATGCAAATCTTATATTGCTTGGGAGGATAATGATTCTTCTACAACACAAGAGAGTTCTTCCGAAAGCAGTGATGGAGAAGAAGAAGCAAATCTTTATTTGATGACAAAGAGTGATAATGAAGTCTCATCACAAGAAACCTCATCACAAGTAAGTAGCACAAAATCTTTAAATGCATATGATGAGTTGCATGAAGCATATCAAGAAATGTATGAAGGTTTTAACAGGTTAACTAAGAAATACACTGCACTTAAGCAAAAGTTTTAATCATTAGAAAATATTGTTGGTATTCTTGAGAAAGAAAATGAGTGCTTAAAGAAATATGTTAAGAAATTTAAAACTTTGGCTAAAGATAAAGAAGTGGCTCATCCTTATGAAAATTATAATCATTTAGTGATAAAAATATTTCCAAAAACCCCTGTCTTGTATTGAATATGATAGCACAATATATACATGAAATACAGAAACATTCTAGGCTATAATTACGCTAACCATTACAGTCGGTATCCTAAATTTGTCTATTAACAGATATGACATTAATGTGCATCACTGTGCATCGCTGTCATGCCAAGCTAAATATGGAAAAAATTAATCATGTATTGTAATCATGTATTCTATGTTTATCATTTAGAAAATGAGATTTTCAAGTTAGAGAAAATAATTAGCAAGTTTTCAAAATCTTCTGAAAATCTAGATTCTATGTTAGGTTATCAATGAGTGGATTCTAGCAAAGCTGGACTTGGTTACAAACTCAAGGAAAGTCTAGAACCTTATAAAACTATTTTTTTGAAAGAGTCAAGGAAAGTAGATGAGCCTCTGCATTGAATATCTACACTTATCTGCCACATAAATTCGATTGTTAACCAACTTAGAAATTTGAAAGTTTGAATTTTGAAAATTTGAATTTATGAAAATTTGAAACTATTAAAGTTTGAAATTTTGCAGGTTGAGACTTTGAAATTTGAAATTTTTATGATTATCAATGAACAGGGGGGAATTTTTTGATGAATTAAAATCTGTATTAAATTCATTCCTAATTCTGAATTAAATAGGGGGAGTTAGGAGAAATTTTGCTCAGATGAGTTAGGGGGAGCTTTGTTATTAACATATCTAGGGGGAGTTTAAATATACTGGGTTAATCTGTGCTACACTATATTGTGCAAATCTGTGCTAATCTTGATCTAGCTATATAGAGTCAAATATTTTAATTCATTTCAGGTGTTTCCTTGATCATCATCAAAAAGGGGGAGATTGAAAGCATTGAGTGAGAGATTGATGGAAATGTGAAATATGTCCCTACATTCCCAAGAGATGTTGATGATGATTCAAGTCAACAACATTCAAAACTCAAACAAGCCCAAGATATGATTTTGATAAAGATTTCATTCAAACATCAAGCAAGCTCAAGATGATTCCTGAAGACTAGATAGAGTCTTAGAATATTGGATATGGAGGTACAAATTGATGAAGTGGTATTATGCATAAGCATCCAAAGCACAAGTGTGATAAAATTTTGTAACATGACATTTTTCACTGTCATAATCAATTATGATGCATCAGAAATGGAAAAATGATTTTCTCTTTGTCATAATCGATTATACTGGTAACATAATCGATTATGGCAACTTAAATTTGAAAAATATATCTGTTTTTGAAGAATAAATGTTTTTTATACATCCTGATTTTTTTGTATGAAATTATTAATGACCAACGACTATTTTCTGATGCTATTTTCCTATTTAAATGAGTTTTGATGAAAAATCAAATATACACAATTACAAAATTCAAAAATTCAATTTACTTCAATCAGTTTTGATAAAAAAATTATGAGTAAGACAACAGAGCACTTTTAGGTTTTTTGAGAAAACTTTTTCATATTATCTTCTGCACTTTCATTGTTAATCACACTTGTTCTTGGAGGTTGACATTCTACAGACTTCTACAATTTGGTGTCTCCATTACAAGGTGTGACTATTCTTATTTTATTAATTGTGTTATTTAGGATTTTTAGAGTGGGAACTGCTCTTCCCTTGATTGGTTTAGGGAAGGTGTTTCATCCTTGATTGATTTAAGTTAATCAATTGTGTTATTCTATTATTCATCCTTAGTGAGATTCTAAGGAGGTATTTTCATCCCTTTGATTTGTTCGGGGAGGTGTTCATCCCTAGTGTGATTCTAGGGAGGTGTTCATCCTTTGTGTGTTGGTTGTAAAGAAGATGTTTTTCATCCTTTGATTTGTTCAGAGGAGGTGTTCATCCCTAGTGGGATTCTAAGGAGGTGTTTGTCTTTTGAATTAATTTTCTTTTTACTGGTTCCTCTGCTGAGTTGATTGTAATTTGTAAACTGAATTTGAAAGATAGTGAATTGGGGTCACTCGTGTGATTAGATTTGACTGGGAACTGGATGTAGGGTTGGTTATACCCGAACCAATATAAATTACTGTGTGCTCTTCTCTTGCTTTTATCTCTTTAACAACATCGCATCCTACATTTCCACGCTTGAATCTTTCTCTTTATCTATGTGATTATATCACTTCCGCTTTATCTATATTTTATCTTATAATTAAAATTGAATTAATAAATTATTGGACATCTTAAAATAAATTTTTAATTTAATATCTAATTTAATTTGTCCATCTATTCACCCCCTTTATATGTCATTTGTCTAACATTTTTTTCCATCAAAGTGTTATCAGAGCTTATGGTTCAATAGGATATTTTTAATATGTTTTGTGAGCTTAGTCTGTTATTGAAGTTGTAATGTCATTTGTAAGTGTTGTCAAATGTGACATAGAGAAATGTGCTGATACAATTTAGATTACACAAGGCATTGCAAAGAAGAACTTTTGACATGGAGTTAAATATCCTCATTGCATAACCGCGTTGCTATGGAAAAGGATGAGTTTTTTGCTAGCGGTAATTATGTAAGGACATTGGCTAATATTGATGCAAGGTGTGTGATGATTTTACACTAGTGTTGGTTAGCATTGATGCAGGTGTGCAGTAAAAGGAAATTCTTGGATGGCTTAATTTCAAGTGAGTATACTTTTTATAGTGGAGTATGAATGATTATTGGTGTAGGCAATGACAATAAAAAGGAAGATATGTTTATTTTAATCATGGTAGAGATTGTTGGGTTGATGAAAATAATACATCTTGAAAAGTTTCACATCACATTGGATAAGCAATGAAGTGGTGAAAGTAGCTATATAATGGCTTAAAGGTTATAATGTTTCTCACCCGAGTAAAAAACATTTTAAGCATGTATTTTATTTTTCTTATACTCTTGTAGTAGAGTGTTGAGAGATTTAGTTTAAATTTTTGTTTTGAGAGTGTGAGTGTATTTTTGGTCAAAGGACATGAGAAAGTTATCTATGTGTTGTAAAAATTTTTACATAATATTATTCACAGGGATATCATTAGATAACGGTTGTAGTTCTCTAGTTTTGGAGTTCCCATGTTATATTCTTATATTGATTATTTTTCTCTTATTTTTGTATTAGTAGGGTAATTCTTAAAGATAAAGACGATAATATTCTTCAATTACCTTTTTTCTCATTAGATAGGGGATTGACCAATATATTATACGTCGGAGTTCTTCGCCACTTGATTATACATTTATTTTTGTATTTTGTTAATCTACAGCTTTTTGTGCATTTTATTATTAATTGGTAATCATAGGAGCTCTAATCTTATATAGTAGATCACGATTAACACATTAGTAGGTCTCATGACCTAATAGTTACATCCATCGTGTGATCGACGTAATATAACCCCACATTAATAAATTTTATTTTAATTTAATATATATTTATTTGATATATAAATTATTATATTAGTAAAAATATAAATGTTAGAGTGTCTATGAATCCACTTTTTTATATAATTAATTTTTAAATTATTTATTTTTTTCTTTATTTTATAAACAATTGGCGCATAAACATATTGACCTAAACCCAATTCATTTAACTTAAAACTTCAATTTGAATTATTGTTTTTTTATCTAATCTGATTTTTTTTTTAGGATGGGACTTACTTTACACTTACTAAAAAAGCAATGACACCTCTTAAATGCTAAGAGAGTAAAGTAATGTAGCATGGTCCTACAAAAGTAATAGTTGACCTAATGGGTGATCTCTTTGTTGAGATTGGGAAGGATCAACGGGGCTAAGACCTACAAAGTTAGTCCAATCGTATAAAATCATTACGTGGAAACAAACATGTGATAGTTCACCGTTTTCATTGTTGTGCTCGTGCAAAATGTTTTTTTTTTTTTAAATAACTTTGGACATTTATGATGTATTAACGGGCAACCTATAAACATATATTTTATGCATCAACATAATAACCAAAAGGACTTTATAATCATAAATATATGAGGAATTAGTGGAGCTAGTTTCACAGCATAGTTTGTGAACAAATACTAACACTTTGAGATTTGGCATCGAAATTGACAGGGCAACCGATTAGGTGTTGGTGAGTCTGCTCAACTGCCCTCAAAATATTTTCTTCCAACTTTATATTTCTTTGCTCCAATGAATTATTGAGATTGCCGATTTACTACTCTATCCCTTCCTTCTGGCTGTGAAATGATTAAGGGACATGAGACATTTTTGTCATTTGGAACTTTTGTCTAGAAAATATTCACAGGTGGCAGCAACTAAACCTGAAATTTAAGCAAACAAAATTTTACTTCCATTCTCTAATCTTGCACAAAAGGAGATTAATCTTCAAGGAAGTACAAATGGAGCTTCATAAAGGGCCTTTCTTGCTTTGTGATTTACTAATGTATATAATCCTCTAACAACTCCTTCCAAATTAATCATTATATTTTAACCTCAACTACTTCATCTAAGTTTCCTACAGGGGGGATTCATTTACATATACAGTCCGAAGGTCCCCTCCATTTAAGCCACTGTTGTTGCCTCTTACTTTGTTTCTCAAGGGATATGGAAGTTTCATGTCTTCAGAAGTTGGTGAAGACAGCCCCATCTAAAGCATTGGTCATCAGAATCAATTTGGTCTGTCTTGCCATCTTTCTGGTTGTTTATGCAACCCTTCTTCTGCGACCATCTTCTTCAGTCTACTTTCAGAATGCAGCCTCCCTTGTTAGGTGCTCCTTGAGGGAGTGTCATCACAAGGTAAGGTGAGCCTACTTTAATGGCATTCCTTTCTATTTCATCGTCTTCCTCCTCCTCTCTCTCCGTGTGTTTTGTTTTTCTTTTTTTTTAGACAAAATCTCTTCCTATTAAATGAAGTCTGTTTCATTAACAGCCTCATTCTCTTTAATGAAGTCAATTATATGGGTCATACAAGTTCATTCATCTTACTTTTTTTTAGTGTTTTCATAAGGTATAAAATACAAGTGTTATGTATGTGTTGTGTACATGATATTCAAACTTTTGTAGGAAGAAAAAAGCATAAAGATGAAAGCAGTGTTGGAGGAACCACAACTGAAGCCTAGGATGCCAAAGCAGAATGCGACTAAGATAGAGGTGCCTAGCTTCTTTGCTGAAATGGGGAAAGGAATGAAGATGGGAATGGTGAACATGCATGAAGATGATATGGGTGAATGGAGCACCCTTGGAGAAACAGCACATGTTTATTTCGAAAGGGTGTCACAGTTTTTCAATTGGACAGATTTATTTCCAGAATGGATAGATGAAGAGGAAGAGAGTGATGTTCCATCATGCCCCGAGATACCAATGCCAGAGTTTGCAGCATATGATGACATGGACGTTATCATAGCCAAGTTGCCATGCAAGTACCCTGAAGAAGGGTGGGGAAGGGATGTTTTCAGGTAGAGTAATGATATATCAACACTTACGTGTTCTTTAAGTCTAATTATTATTAGGTGATTCTGAACTACCACACTTGTTCATAGTATAAACCAATCTTTATGTCATGTTAGACTTTTCCCAATTGACTACATTTCTTTCTTTCATATTTTTCTTTTTACATTTATCTTTTATCATTTATTATTTTGTTTTTTCAGGTTACAAGTTCATATGATTGTGGCCAGTTTGGTAGTGAAGAAGGGGAAGAAGGATTGGAATTGGAATTGGAAGACAAAAGTGGTTTTATGGAGCAAGTGTAGGCCAATGCTGGAGCTGTTTAGGTGCAATGATTTGGTTAAGCAGGAAAATGAGTGGTGGTATTATGAGGTTGATGTGAAGAGATTGGAGCAGAAGGTTTCTTTGCCGGTTGGATCATGCAATTTGGCGCTGCCTCTATGGGATGAAGGTATGCTTATCATCGAGTGGGAAAATTAATTAAAGTAAAATATAAATTTTCGCGCCAGGTAGGGGTCGAACCTACGACTTTCTGCTTAGGAAACAGACGCTCTATCCACTGAGCTACAAGCGCTTATTTAATAATTAATAACAAATGTAATTATATGTTATTACAGTATTTTTAATTTATATAATTTGATAAATGAAAGTTTTGAATTAGTTGATATCTCACATCAACCAGACAACTTTTAAAATTGTTTTTCAAGTCATGAGAGATCAAGAATATTTTTACCAATTATATTCATATATTGCACCTTGAAGCAAGGTTTTATGGTAGCATTATACATATAAATTTCATCACATTTGTGTCCTATTTTATAGTACATCATTTTTTTTTCATATATTTTTTCTCCTTTGTACCTCAATTATCCCAAACTGGGGTCAGCATTTTATAGAAACCTTTTTTTGTGTTTGCATTGTGTGTATTTTCTTTTTCGCAAAGTTAACTAATTATATATGCATAAGAAAACATGTAGAAAAAGGTTGCAAAATGTTGTTTTTTTATTAGAGTAGATGGTACAAATTCGTAGGAGTAGGAAAATTATAAAAGTAGTATTGTTTCTGCCTATGAAATTCAATTTAAATTCATATGTTTGGGCATGGTACTTAAAAAAGTTTTAATATTTTTTGGTGACTTTTGTTAACAAGTAATAGCTTAAAGATAAAGCTATCGATCTCTTGTCAATCTTAAATCTGGGTCATATTGAGTCCAACTGTTAATCCTATCGTATGTTAGTTATGGAAAATTGTTATTTTTTTTTTATGTGGGTGGTGTAAACCATGTTTTATTTTGTACTTTAAAACTTATCATAACCACTGCATTAGACATAATTAACATCTAGTAAAAAAAATTCACACCCAATTTTTTCAATTATCTTATAAACAACTGTAAAATATTTTTTTTATTAATAGAAAAAGAATGAATTAAAATAAATAAAAAATAATATAAAAAATTAAAAGTAAATTATTTAATAGATATTTAAAATAAGTGGGTTGTGAATATATTATAACCTAAGCTACGTGAGTTTTAATTTCTTCTAGAAAAATAATGTTAGTTGTCGATATGTATTGATTTTTCATCTTAGTAGTACTTCTAGTTTAGCTTTTGTTTTATTTTATTTTTTTTCTCTATGTTTGTTAATTATACTATCTTCAATTTCATTGCGTAAGAAAAAGTATTGTTGTGACCCTTTCCCTGCATTACAATCAAAGTTGGTTAGGCTTTAGCTTTCAACTTTCATGCACTAAAGATTTCCCTAAAATAAAATAAGAATTCAATTATAAGGGAAATTTGTAAAAGCAAAATTAATAGAAATTGTGAAATTTGGTTGCAATTTTCAGGAATCGACAAGGTGTACGACACGTCGACCCTGGAAAAGAGCGTTGAAAGCGAAGCTCGAGCGAAACGCGAGGCCTACGCAACGGTTCTCCACTCATCGGAAGGGTACGTGTGCGGCGCAATAACGCTGGCGCAGACGCTTCTCCGGACCGGAACCAAACGCGACCTCGTGCTCCTTCTGGACAGCTCCATCTCCGCCGCCAAGCGCCGCGCCCTCGAGCTCTCCGGTTGGAAGACCCGAGTCATCACCCGGATCCGGAATCCGCGCGCCGAGAACGGCACCTACAATGAGTACAACTACAGCAAGTTCCGGTTGTGGCAGTTGACGGAGTACGAGAGAGTGATCTTCATCGACGCCGACATCATCGTCCTCCGCAACCTCGACATCCTCTTCTACTTCCCCCAGATGTCCGCCACCGGTAATGACCAGTCCATCTTCAACTCCGGCATCATGGTTCTCGAACCTTCCAACTGCACCTTCGATGTTCTCATGTCGCGTCGCCACGATGTCGTTTCCTACAACGGGTATGAAATTTATTGAACACATTTATCTGAGTTATCTGGTGATATTTTCAACACAATCCTTTAAATAATTTATTTTATTAATATAATAATCTATCATTTAATAAAAATAAAAATAAGTTATAATTCACTTTATTAATATAATAATATATAGAATCATTTAATAAAAATAAAAATAAATTAAAATTATTATTATAATATTAAAAAAGAATTATTTATAAAAATATAATAAATTTAGGTTATCAAAATATTTTTTTCATTTATTTTCTCTTGTTAATTCTAAATTATCCCTTTTTTTACTGTTTAACAACTTATAAAAATTAAAACGTAATTATTTATAATTAAATATTTATTTAAAACATATTTATATATAAACATATTTATTTATAATTAAAAGTCATATAAACTATATAATATCTATATATTAAAAATATTTATTTATAATAAATTTTATGTTATAATGTATTAACAATGTTTGATGATTATAACATTTATGGATTTATTATAGATATTAAAATATCTTATTGTTACTCATCATACTTCTTATCTCTTCTTATCTCTTCTCGACATGATTCCATCACCCCCCTCACCTTTCATCGTATCCCTTCAGGAGATTTTTCATTCGGGGGAATTTTTTTTCATCAGAATTTGATCTGTTTATTATTTATTGTAGGGGCGACCAGGGTTTCCTGAACGAGATATTCGTGTGGTGGCACAGGCTTCCCCGCCGCGTGAACTTTCTGAAAAACTTCTGGGCGAACACGACGTTGGAGGCGAGTGTGAAGAACGCAATGTTCGGCGCTGACCCTCCGAAGCTCTACGCGATCCACTACCTGGGCCTCAAGCCCTGGCACTGCTACAGGGACTACGACTGCAACTGGGACGTGGAAGATCAGAGGGTCTACGCCAGCGACGTTGCACATCGACAGTGGTGGAAGGTCCACGACTCCATGGACCACCGCCTGCAGAGCCTCTGCCGGTTGACCCGAAAGCGAAGGACCGAACTCAACTGGGAGAGGCGAAAGGCCGGGAAGCTAGGGTTGCCGGATATGCATTGGAAGATCAATGTCACCGATCCCAGAAAACAAGGCTCGCTTTTGATTGATTAGGCTACATGTTAATTAGGTTATAGTTGTACAATTATAACACAATTCTTTTTTCTTTTCTATTTCTTATTTTTTTGGATTTTTGTTTTTGTTTTTTGCAATTGTATTTCATCATCTCTCTAGTACAGAAACTTGTTGTGGAGGAGGAGGAGGAATTTTATTTTATTTTTATGCAGTTTATTTATTAGTCACTCAATAATGGAAACATAACAGAAATTCATTGCATTGCACTTTTATCTTGTTTATTTGTTATTTTTAAAAAGATAAATGATAGGGCATGATTAGTATAAAATAAGTGTTCTATATGAAAAATATATAATATAAGTTTAATGGTTTATTTGGTCTATTATTTATTTTTATTTTAAATATTTTTAATGTTATTTTGTTCTCTCTCTTTTTTTCTGTTAAATAACGACATTAAAAAAAATGTGAATGAGATATATTATTAATTATATGTCACACACTTTAATATACATAATTTAACATTTCTCTATTCTTTTGCCCAGAATTTTTACTACACGTATTATTTTCATTAGATTCTTCATTTATAAGGGGTTCAACATTTAGTGCATTTTAATTTTCTTTATGATTTTTTTTTTTCAGTTTAGTGAAATTTATTGCATTTTTTCATGCAAAATTAGAAGACATTTGTAATTATTAGACTCATACTCAGCTACATACTAATTAAAATTTTTAAATTGATTAATGAATCTATGATTAAGTTTTAATTCTACATATGTATAGAAAAGAAAGAATCGAGAAATGAAAAGTAATTGGAGATATCCATAAATTTGAGGATAGTTAATAATTAAAGGATAGAGAGAACCAAAGGAAACATGAAAAAAATATTGGAAGGTAAAATGACTCAGGTGTAATGACTTCAAACATCCAGATATTAAAAGAATAAAAGACATTGAGACTTATGGTACATAATGACAAAGGTGGGATATCGAAAGGAAACAAGGTAATCGAGATATATACAAAAATAATTATTATCCTATTATGATGTATGCGCATACTAATAGGAAGGACATAGTGACAACGTAAGTCTAGGAAAGAGAAGATGTTGAATTATTGGCAAGCGTACCAAAATTATTAATCGCAATATAGTATTTCGATTAAATAAAAGTCGATCCCACGAGGAACGGTTTCAATGGAAATTCTTAATTATGCTTACTAAGTAGATTAAAACAGATTGGGTTTTTCAAATAAGAGTTGAATTGAAATTAAATGACAAAGAACTGTAAATTGTTGAGAAAATATCAATTAAAGGTACTTAGGATTGACTTCCTTCCTTATCCCTCTTTTGTAATGGCTATGTCAATTAAGAACGTCAATTAACCTAACAATATTGATGTCACCTACTCAAATCATCCATGTTGATTCCTCACACATAAAATTCATAAGAAAACCTAATAAATGTTGATTCCTCACACAATTAAGAGATTTCTCAACATTAGGTTTAGGGTGTTAAGCAATTTATACATTCATTCCATTCCTGACAATTAACGTAACAAATATTCTTACCGTGATTCTAGGGTTCAAGATATATTTTCCAATCATACCTCAAACAATCAAGAATAAATCATTACAAAACATAAAGGATAAGAATAACAACATCAAAGCATAGATTAATATCTCAAAATATCACCATGATACAAAAAGTTCAAAGGAAGTGCACCGAATCCTAAGAGAATGAAGTTAGTCACTCATGTTGGCCATTACAATGCTCCAATTGATGAAGAAGTGAAGAATTGATGAAGATTAGACAAAACCCTAACAGTAGTCGTGCCTCCTCTCCTCCAAGACTGTTTGCTTTTCTCAAAACACAACTTATCTTTTTATAAGAGAATTTGGGTCGGGCCTTGCATCATTCATTCGCTTAAGCGCTCTTCTTTCTTTCAATTTTACTCCAATTATGCTCCTTACTCTTGTATCAAGGTATTCTCAAATTCATCCTATATTGGGTGAAAAATATATTAGAATTAACATAAGTTAAGTGGTTTTATAACAATTCAAGACATAATTATATCAACTTTTTACCACTTAACAACTCCCCCAACCTAGAATCTTGCTTGTCCCAAGCAAAGTAGATTTTCCAAAGCAAAATCATCACCTATTATCTCTTTCTCTTCTAGAACTACAACATAAAAATTTTCAGGGGTGATGCTCGCAACTCCAAATGAAAATAGAACACATAAGTATTCAAGTTATAAAAACCAAAAAAGAATAATTAGTCCTCAACTATCCTCAGAGAAGCATGATCTCTCAAATAGAGTTATATATACTCATCTCTAATTCTCACAGGTAAGTGTTTATCTCATTCAATCACTTCATTTAGACAATCCAATATTGATAATCATCTTCAAGCAATCAACAATTGTTAAACAAGACTTAAATCAAAAGGTCTTTTGAGGCTTGTAATGGGGTTGGGCTAAGAAAGAATTATTGATTTTTTCTGGGATATACAAAAATATTTGAGAAATTCAACTCATATGAATGATTCTTGATTAACAATTCCTCAAGTCAGGTTTCAAACTTCATGCTTTTGTCCCTAACACAATGACAATGAGTTAATAATCTCACAAGTTATTACCCCCTTTTTACTTCTTTTTTTTTTTGCTTTTGCATGTATCCTTTTTTTGGCTTTGCAAATTTTTAAGCTTTGCTTTTCCTTTTTCTTTACACTTTTTTTTTAACAATAACACCCCAACAATACCTGTAGGACAACAATAGTAATACCCAACAATAAGAAAAATAGTGACATTCATACTCATTTCCTTTCTCAAATATAGGAAGGTAGATAAATAGTGTTTAGGCTTAAGGGTTCTGTTTAAGAAACAATATTATTTTTGGCTCAGAAGGGGTTCAAATGGATGTCCTATAATTAATGCATGGTTGGTTATTTGGCTCTGGGTTATATCTATTACAAAGAAAAAAAATGCCTTTATCATTTTCAAGTCTTGCCAACATGCAATCACATCAAAGAATCAATCAATATCAGTTATCATCACAAAGTGTTGACACTCAATTTATCTGTTTTTGGTACTCTACTCACCTGGGTTTTGGCTAGCTTCTCCAATTCAGTTATTTCCTAATTTTCCTCATCAATTCCTTTTCACTATCATACTCAATATCCCAAAATCACTTGTTATTGGAAACAATCAAAATTATTTTTCACATTCTAGATTTGAATTAGACAATAAGCAATAATCTCATATATGACTCTAAAACAAATTATGGGACAACAAAGAATTCAAAATTTAAAATAAAGCAATTAAAAACATTAAATTAAAAACAAAGGAATTAAAAACATTAAAAGCAAAGTAAGTTTCCTCCCTCATTTTCTTCACTTGTCATGTACTCCTTATCTTGTGCCTCAGCTGCAGACTTTCTCACCCCCTCCAGAAAAGTTGGATTGTCCCCAGGCCATTGAAGTAAGGCTTCAAAGTCTTGAGGAGAAGTGCACTGTGTACCTGGAGCAATCTTGCAAAGAAAGAACCTAAGGAAGAAAAATGCACAAAAAAACTTAAACTGCAAAAAGAAGAAAAACAAATTCAAAACATTGGGTTGTCTCCCAGGAGTGCTTGTTTAACGTCTTTAGCTCGACGCCTATTTGTTTTAGGGCTCATGCAGGTGAGTGATCAAGGTGATATATACACATTCTCCATCCCTTAACTGTCCTTGTGGGAATGAATTTATTCTTCTCATTGCGAATAACCTTACAACTGTCAGAGATTGGATAAATCATACCTGCTTCAGGAGGTTTTAGTACCTCTCTTTGAATAACTTCCTTCATAGTCTGACTAAGATGTCTTTGGGGTTGTGCAACAGGCTTGTAATCTTGTTTTTCAGTTGAGATGGCTAATTCATCCAAAGTATCTATTCTGAGACAATCTTTCTTGTTTTTCGGTTGTTGTACAACTTCAAACAGATTAAAATTAACTTTCTCATCTCCACTTCTAATGTTCAGCTTGCTCATGTCAACATCTGTAATTACTTTGGCAGTCTTGATAAATGGTCTTCCCAGGATCAATGGGACTTTCTCATTTTCCTCCATGTCCATAATCACAAAATCAACAGGAAATATGAATTTTTCCACTCTAACTAAAACATCTTCTGCTACTCCATAAGGAATTTTTAGAGATCTGTCAACTAGCTACAATGTCATTCTTGTAGGTTTTACTTCCAAGTCTCCTATTCTTTTGAGCATAGATAATGGCATGAGGTTTATACTGGCCCCTAAATCAAGTAATGATTTTTTCACCGGTAATTCACCAATTGTGACTGGTATAGTGAAACTTCCAGGGTCCTTGGAATTTTGAGGCAATGATTTTTGGAATATAGCACTGCATCCTGCCTCTAACTCTATTGTTTCATCAGTAAATCTTCTTTTCTTAGTTAAGAGCTCTTTCATGAATTTGGCGTATGTTGGCATTTGCTCCATAGCTTCCACAATTGATATATTAATTTGCAATTGCTTGAAAATATCCATGAATCTTGCAAACTGTTTTTCTTTATCTATCTGTGAAGGAGCCTTGAGATACGGTAACTTCTCTACAAATGGTTTTTTACTCCCTCCTTTTTCTATCTTCTCTTCGTTCTTCTTATTAGTAATATGTCTTTCTTTATTATTCTCATCTTCTTGCTCTTCATCTTCTTTTACCAAAACTTCTTCTTCAACAACTATATTGTCACCAATCCCCTTACCTACAACTTTTCCACTCCTTGTAGTTATTGAATTGCATTGCTCCTTGGGGTTGATTTGTGTGTTAGCTAAAAATTGTCCTCCTAGTAGCTGTTCAGATAATTGCTTAGCTAGTTGGCCTATCTGGATCTCTATATTTCTGAATGAAGCCTCAGTATTTTTCTGATTAGCCATAGTGCCTTGCATGAATTTTTCTAAAGTTGTCTAAATATTTTTTTGATTAGTCATAGTACCTTGCATGAATTTTTCTAAAGTATCCTCCAATTTACTTATTTTGTCAGGCACTGAAGGATAA